GGCCTGCCCCCCCCCCCCCCCTTTTTTTTAAAGCAAACCTGGGGTCCAAGGGGCAAAAAACCCTTTTTTGGGACCGGGCCTCCCCCCCCTTTTCTCATGGGCCGGATGACCGCCCCCCCCCCCCCACCCCCACTCCCCCGTCTTACCTGAATGTCTGGATCCGCCATTGAAGATAACCCACCCGGGGTTAGTGTGAGATTTGACCTCAGATAAGTGAGCTCAAAAAGAAAATTTAGTTTAATTCTCTTTGCCCGCAATTGGATGACTGGATACTCTAATACAAAATGGAGAAAATTATCCGAGAGAGTGCTTTTGATAAAAAGAAAAAGAAATCCGGGTTAAAATTTAACTCCGGGTTAGCGCTAACCGGCGTTCGAACAACTGGGCCCTGGATGTTTCGTTGATAAAAAGTGGCGCTAAAATATAATTATAGCGTGACGTCATCAAGTACGTTGTTGCTAGACGGTTGATTCGCTATCGTGACTTGCGACGGGATTTTTGTTTAATAGTCACGTGGGCGACTGTTTATCACGCTACCCGACGTAATATTCTAAATACACACTTACTTTACATAAATTAAGATTCAGTACAAAGAACTAGCAAAGTCAGTCGCAAGCAAGTTGAGCGTGCAAGAATATATCTCAAGTTATTGTCAGTAAGGTAAGAATGATCAAGGTAGTTTCAATAACTAGAATATTCTGTTTGAGATATGGTTTCTTAGAATATAATTGAGCTCCAAACGGGTAGGTAACGGATTGCAGAGTAACAGTGGCTTAAATACTAGTAAGCAGTAGTGTGATCGAGTGATAAGACTCATGAATACACCCTCAGTCTTTCGTGTTGTCCACAGTACAAAGAGAACCCCGCAAAAAGATTTTTCTATTTATCTTAGCTGAGTGAATTGTTCAGATATTTAAGTAGACTGTAGTCTGTTTAATTGAAGTAAAAGCAGGCGGAAGTTTCGCCGATCTGCTACTCTACAATGACCCTAGCAACTAACAGCAGCACAGAACAGAGCTGTCCAGACTGTCACAGTGACTCTTGTTTATGAAACAAACTTTATATTGGATCAAACACTTCATGTACTTGAGAAGCAGTAAATGCACCCGTCTATGTGGTGGTAGATTGGCTCGGCTCAATTTTGGAGCGCATACCATACGAATATCATCTTCTTAAGAACACCGAAAACGAAACCGGAACTCGAAAATTAAAAGGGTTATTCCCTACAATTCAAGTGCAAGTTAATTATATATGAGATGTATTAGTATAGGGTCGCCAGTTTACTCTGTCTAGAAAGTTCTCATTGTTGAAAATTGCTTTTTAGTAATAGAGGAAACTTGTTGAACCAGAACTTGACCCGCAGACTTGATAATTAAGATATGTTCCGTTTGGTTTCATTTGCTTCAGTAGATTCCCGCTGTATAGTACTTTCAGTTTCGACACAAAAATCATCCATGTAATCATTTGGATGACTTAATTTGAGCATTTCCACTTTCTTTATAATCCTGGAGTGCCTATATCTTGTCTTTCAGGAAGCGTTTTTAATTTGGTGACTAATTAACCATGTAGAATAAACAAGCTGCATACACGAAGGAGATTCTTAAACTGCAAACTCAACTTTCCTTTTCTTAGAATTTTACCTATTCCGAAACATAGAAGCTCCCACAGCCACTTGAAAAGTTTTAGTTTCTCTCCATTTTCAAACGTGAATTTGGTGTATTTGTTTTCCGGCATGAATGTAAACAACGTTCTGAAAAGGTTGCCGAAATTTCAGAAATTTGCATAGACATTAATGCATCAGTGGTTCCCGTACAGTGATGTCGTTACACCTTTGTTATTTTGATAAACAACTTTTTAAAGATTGCTCTATATTGCCGCGTCATCATACTCTGCAGATAAATAAATGAAGACATCAGTTGGCTGGTAGTATTTTTCAAAAGTAACACACGACGATAATAAATTTCGCATCACGATCGCGATTTTCTCTATTCCTATCATGATTGTTGTAACGCGATTTCTTCTCACAATCTTAATTGTTGTATCGCGAATCTAGTCATCGAGATTTCTCTATCCCGATAGCGATCGCTGTATCGCGATGTTTCTATTGTGACCGTGATTGTTGTATTGTAATGTCTCTATCCCGATCGCGATTTTTCTATCGCGAATTCTGTATCACGATCGTGTTTGTTTTTTCGCGGTATTTCAATCGCGATTCTTCCATCACGATCACGATCGCTGTATCACTATTTCTCTATCACGATTGTAATTATTGAATCGAAATTCCTCTCCCCTGATTTGGCCTCACTTTTAAATATATGAGATCCTTCAAAAAAAGTTAGGTAAAACTACGAGGTTTATGCCGATTCACGAAATTGAACCCTAATTATCTGTGGAGACTGCGCCTTTGTCTCTTGCGAAAAAGGAAACATTCAATAACCTGATTGCTTTAAAGGAGTGATAACAGGACTCTTGTTCCGCAAATGTACCTCCCAGAAGCTAGGTGACAAACACCTTGGTGATCTCCAACTTTTTTTTCTTTTCTCCCTTGTTTTAGGTTTTGAGCGCCACTCGTCATGAATACCATTGCGTTCAAAGCATCTTTCCTCCTGGTTCTCTTATTTTTCTTGCTATCTGTTTTCGCCCAGGATCCTATCAGCTCGTGCGATGGAATCTCGAACGGGACACGCTCTCAAATCTGTCTGTCGGGACAGTGCCCACTACGATGCTACACAAATTCGTCAGACGATCCGAACTGCGATCAAGTGTGTGTGGTGCAGCCATGTGCTGCTCTAAGCTGCAATTCGACCAATTGCCTGCAGCGCTGTTTATCAGGGGGGTGTAACTCTCTGGTATGTACAGGCGCTGATTGCACGCAAACCTGCTTGGGAAACTGTTCTGAAATAAACTGCACAGTGACGGCAAAGTGCAACCAGCAGTGCGA